TTGAAAGTTTTTGTTTGATTTTCTTAATGAAAAAACGGGGAAATACAATAAAAATTGTGAATTTTATAGAGAATATATCCATAGAATAAGTGGAACAGAAAAATCAAGTGCAATTGATTTTTACTGGGAGACAATTAACGGAAAGTTTAAGATAATCGAGAGAATTGTCAGGTGAATTCACAGATTCGATTACTTCTAATGAATTTCTGCTTGTATAATAAGAAAGATATCCAATAATTATTTGAAATATTACTATTAAATATTACTATTAAATATTAATATTACAAAAATTTTGAATAAACTAAAGTAAATAGATTTATGTTTGCCCCTGCCTTATGATAATTCACTTGTCGTCAGGTAAATTCGAAAAAACAATTCATTTCCCTTCGAAAGAATTGAATTTCCATTCATTCCATTGGTAAAAGAGATAAATAAATTTGACTTGACCTGCCACATTTCAATCATCCCGACTGTTTAACGAACCTATCAAGAGTGCCATATCATTGCATCTCAGTTAATTTAATAACAAATTATACCAATGAGCAATTACGATTTAGAGAAAATAAAAGACAATAAATTCTCAAATGATAAATAAACGATAAATTACTCGATGCTCTTAAAAATTTGATAATTCCCCATAAAAAAAGAATGCCATAAAAATTTTCTTGAATTGGGCTTCAGTTGTAAATAAACAATAAATACAATGAATGTAAAATAGGCAAACACATGGAAAATTATAATTATATTGTAATTAAATTATAATTTAATATGGAAGGTCGACTGCCTGATTGAAAGACACTTGGATAATTCCTGGTAGGTTTTAATATTGTTCTAGTACATGATGGTACAAGGTGAGAAGAAATTGTGCATTTAATTCAATTATTGGGTTTTTTTTAGTAAGGAAATTGATAATTTTATTTGCCGAGACCTTCGGCATGATTCTCTCAATCTCTGAATGTTGACAATCTCTTGGAAAATTGGCTTTACACGAGAGCTCATCGATGACTCCCGCCGGGATGTACGAAAAATCGTTCTAGTAAATTTACTATTCATCTCTGGCAGTATATAATATTGGTGTATACAACTTATGTTGTTTATTGTTTTATGTTTTCTCTCCCATATATCTCTTTTGTTATCAACATAATTAATCTATTGAATTGATTTATTCGTTTCTTTTGGATTTCGCCTCGTCGGGAATGGGAATTACCATTCTCCATGAGTTTGCACATTATTTTTTTTTTCTCCTAAAAACACGTTTTTTTAGATGTTTCACAGAATTAGCTTCGATTTAGTTTAAAATATCACAATTTTTCTCCGATCAAATGGTTTTCCCCTTCTCCATACTGACATAGACTGAATTTCTGACACAAGTGACACAAAAATCTCCATCAAATTAATATACAATTCAATCAATAAATCAATCTTCAAAATAAACTGATAGCATTTACAAAATTAACGTCATATTCATCAACACAAAACATTCAAATCTCCTCCAAATGACAAATTCAATAAATAAACTACATAAAATAATGTACACCTTCGAATTTCCATGTGATAGCAGTGAGATAAGTACCAGAAACTGAACTAATTAAAAATTTTCCATAATCTCGTCATCGTAATACCATCGCAGAATGCTGCACAATTCAAATGAAAAATGAAAAAAAAAAATGAAAAAAAAAAATTACAAGTGTCAGAAATTACGTTCATGCCAGAGCTCGATGTTGAAACATACATTTTTACTTTAATATATATATTCTTTTTTCATTAACGGTTTTGTAATCTCAACGAGAGACATTTAAAAAATTCGTGAAGAGTCAAGCACGTTTACGTGTCAATTACCATGAATCAACAGTGAAAAAACACTTGAGTCCAAATATGGTCGACTCCTTACGATTTCGCATACACATTAAAGATACAGCTGTTGTCTCTCTCTGTATTGAGCTCACCAGACGAATAATATCCCAGTGCAATAGTCAACAGGTAATCGTCATGGTATGTGTACTGTCATCGTGTCTCACTGTTGTATAATTCACTCATTTATTTATTGTTGTACGTTGGCAGTTGATCTGGCGGTTAGCGCATTGTAATTCTTTTACACTAGCAAACTTTGGGATTGACTCAGCGAGGCTGGGATACCTGTGCACATCACAGGCTCTCATCATTGTTTCTAGACAACGTAACGAGTACAGGCCTTTTTCCATTTACACTGCGTACACCAGTCGAGCCTTCCCTCCATACCGTGACGTTTACGGCATTTTTTCACCTCGTTACGTCCACGTCGCGATTTTGAGATTATTTTATCACCAGTTGATAGGGCTAGGAGACTACCACTTGGTGATACGTAACGATGTTGTGATTTTGTCGGCTTGCGGTGTTTTCCGGTATTTCCCTGGAATCATTAAAATATCATCAATTAATAAAATGCTGCATTCACTCACTAAAATCAATGATTTTGCCAAGTTAATTTGCAATTTGAAAGGAAAATATACATTGAAGCAGTATTTTGTGTAAATATCCATTAAAGTTGCCTGATTTTTTTATTATACTATTAATAATGAAATTTATTAATTAATGAAATTTATACTGAAATATATTCCTTTATGGATCCTTTATGGATCATTTATTTATGATAGATGATAAACGCGTAATTGTAAATCGCAATTAAATTTCAAATTCAAATATCTAATTATAAATATAATACATATATTTTTTTTCTTAAAAAATTATTTAAAATTTTCCTGAGCTAAGCTATGCGGCGAAAAACGGTGACAGTTTTCGTTACAACCTGAATTTTTTTAGAAGGGATGAGCTCTAATTTATTCTCGATTTAAGGCTCGGGTGGATTATCTAGAAAAGATAATTTACTCCGAAATTCGGATTCCTAATTACTTTGGCAATTAATCGTTTTTTTCAATAATTGTTAGCTAGCGTTCTAGCGGTTGTCAACTAGGCCGCTAGCTAATAATTATCGGAAAAAACGATTAATTGACGGAGTAATTAGAAGTCCCAATTTTGGAGTAAATGATCTCTTCCAGACAGTCCATCCGGGCCTTAAAACAACAACGAAATTTCTAATTCATCTTTAAAATCCAAAATAGGAACTGTAATTTTTGATTGATGGGCTTTACATACATCACGATGGATTAGAGTAAAAAGATAATTGTGATGATAGCTCAAGGGATTAAAAAATAATAATGTTGCAATAATTCGTTAAGACGATTGCATCGTTATGCAGTGATCATCTCTCTACTCAAGGACTCAGTAATTCCTCAGAATGAAAGAGATAATTACCCCTGAGGGAAGTGATGTTGCCTGAAATTTCAAGAGCTGGCCCTCGTTGTTCATTATTTTCAGGACTGACGTTTGTGGAGGCCTTACCGCAGGTGTTCCAACAACTTTAATAACTGTGGATCCTGCTTCCATGGCAAGCTGCTTCTGATACTCAGGATCCTCGTGCGGTGGCCTTGCCATATCCCGGTGAGACAATGTCGGTGGTGAACTCACTGGGACCTGATAATCGATTACTTTTATCGCATCAAAGTAAAATTCCTCTTCTTGTACGTTTGCTGCTTCCACATTTGATTCTGGTAAACTACAACAAAAATTATCATTCCAGATTCATTATCGGTTCATCAGAATTTATAATCAATTTATTAACAAAATTTATCACATGTATATGTAAGTCTTATTCATAATTATTCATTATTATTCATGATTATTCATCATTAAATATTGTGACGAAATGACGCGCTCTATTGAATCAACTACTCATTGATAAAATTAACTCATGGATAATCACATCACGATTTTTTATGAATTAGAAATAAATGAGATGATTATTACTATTGTTAGATATTTATTTAGTTGAAAAAAGGATTCAATTTTTTTATATTGAGCTAATCCTCTGCGGTCATTGTCGCGGATTCCTCGGT